AAAAAAAAATAGCCTCTTGAAGGAGCTCTGGTGGCCTAGTGGCAAGAAGCTGCACTGCAATCCCAGAGGTACGTGGTTTGAGCCCACCAGATGCTCTGCTGGAGAAGGAGGGACAGTCTCCTCCTGTACCAGTCAGATCCAATTTTACAGTACATGCACAAAAATTAATAAAAAAAAATTAAAAAAATAGCCTCCCATAACTTCCTTGCCCTAACCAGTTAAATTTCGTTTACTTTCTGCATTATGAATTTGCCTTTTCTAAATGCTTTGTGTAGGTGAGATCATAACAATAGCTGTCTTTTGTGTTTGGCTTCTTTTGTTTAACAAAGCATTACCAAGGTTCAACCATGTTGTAGCATGTATCAGAACTTAATTATTTAAAAAATTATTTTCCATGATGTTCACATACTGCATTTTGTCTATCTCTTCATCTGTTGCCAGATATGGGGGTTGTTTCCACCTTTTGGATCCTAAAGTTCAACTTAAACCAGACCCACCTGTTATAAATTGTCTTTCCCTAAAAAAAGATGTATTGGAATTCAAATGTCTATGCCTTTTCTTTATTATTAATGGGGTGAGGCTAATATTATTAATGTTATTAATTATAATTGTTGTTAGGTGCCATATGTGGACTATGACAGAAACCCTATGATCCGCAGATTGGAACCTTGCCCTATCATGTTATTGTCACTATCTCTTAGTCTAAGTTACAGTTAGTCCATCTTGCTGAATGTCTTCTCTGACCCTCTACCTTTCCCAACATGATGTCTTTTTCCATGAATTGGTCCCTCCTGACAACATGTCCAAAGTATGTGAGACAAAGTTTCACTATCCTTTCCTCTAAGGAGCACCCTAGTTGCATTTCCTCCAAGACACATTTGTTTGTTCTTTTGGCAGTTCCTGGTACATTTCAAAACTTCTCCAACCCCATAATTCAAAGTCATCAGTTCTTCTTTGGCAATGCTTACTTATTTTCCAACTTTCAGGTGCACAGAGAGTAATTGAAATAATCATGACTTGGATCAGGTATGCCTTAGTCTTTAAAATGATATCCTTGCTGTTTAGGACTTGAAAGAGTTCCTTGATAGCAGATCTTCTCAATGCAACACATCTTTTAATTTCTTGGCTGTTGCTACCATGAGTGTTGATTGTGGGTTACAAAAGTCAGTATAAAGATAGGAAGGAAAGAAAGCAAAGGTCAAAATGGTCAAAAGAGACTGAAACTTACACTAGAATGTAAGGAAGTCAAAGCAAGTGGGAGAAATAGTGACAGCAGGTTTCAAAAGGAAGCTTCAGAAGACAAAAAACTCAAACTATTTTAATGAAATGTGCTAAGAGCTGGAGAGAAATTGTGTACCTTTGCATTGGAGCCTAGCAGGTTTTCAGAGGCAGTTACTCTCACAGCAGAGTGCCCATCTTTCTCCCATGGTACAGCAGATGGATTTGAACTGCGTGCCTTCAGGAGTGTTCACAGCTTCTTACAAGTAGGCCACCAGAGCCCACTGTGAAGTTTATGTAATAGCGTGTGTCTTAAACTTGCTTTTCCTGAGTGATTTAAGGAGCCAACATAAACATAAAGAAGCTAGCAAACAGGAAGCCACAGAAGACTTCAGGCACTATCTGAAGAGCTAAGCAGAGTACACCACAAACTCAGGCCTCAAAGCTTGCCTGCTTTGGATTCCTCCACTATCACCCTAGGAAGACAGATAGAAATTCTTCCCCTAGAGCCAGTGCCCTCAATTCAGACTTGCAGCCTCCTAAAATATGAGAAAATAAATTTATTTTTGTTAAAGTCACCAGTTTGTGCTATTTTGGTTACAGTTGTTGTGTACCATTGAGTTGGAACCGACCCACATCTGACCCTCCATCAAGTTGGAACCGACCCACATCTGACCCTCCAGTGGGTTTTCAGAGGCAGTTAATTGCACAGGAGGAGACTGCCCATCTTTCTTTTGAAGAGCAGCTGGAGGATTTGAACCTCATGCCTTCAGGACTGCAGTGCAGATTGTTACTACTAGGCCACCAGAGCTCCCTTTTGTTACAGTTGTTGTTGTTGTTGTTATGTGCCATCAAGTCGCCTGTGACCCATAGAGACCCTATGTACAGCAGCTCTGAACCCTTTGAAGTCCTTTGCCTATTTAAAAATCTGATTCTTGCTGTTACTTAACTGTAAGGGGTTTGGCTATGTGCTTAGGTGCCCAAGCTAGTGAGGGTCGGGCAGCCGAAGAGTGTGGTAGGTAATGGTAGTCAGCACAAGGGTCACTTCGTCACTGGGAAGGGATGACTCTTGCCCATGGAGATGGGGGTTAGCAAGATGAACAAAGGTGCGCAAATGAGAGGAGCAATTAACCAAAAGTTGATAGAAACTGGAGAAAGAGAAAGCCTCAAGAACTGCTGAGAGTCAAACTAATGGAATGTGGCTGGAAGGACCAGTTGAAAACACACTGTAAAGATAATGATTTTAATGAATTAGATCACGTTGTTCTGTGGTTTTATTTCTGAAAGCGAAATGTGCCATAAATTAGAAATCAGTTTCACAAAATAAAATCCTTTTTGTATGATTGTAGAAAAACAATTGTAAGGGGTTTGTAAAAATATATATTCTGTATATTAATCCTTTGTTAGTTATATGACTTATAAATTTTTCCCCAGTCTCTGGGCTGTTTTTACATTCTCTTAATTATGCCTTTTGATGCACAAAAGTTTTCATTTCTCTTATTTTCTATGTTTTTGCTGTAATATCGAAGAATCATTGCCATGTATAAGTTCATGAAACTTTTTTTCTTCTAGGGTGGGTGACTGGAATGCAAAAGTTGGCAACAAAGAAGATTCAGTAGTTGGAAAACATGGACTCGGTGACAGAAATGGAGCTGGAGAGAGAATGATCAAATTTTGCACAATCGGTGACTTATTCATAGCAAATACATTTTTAAAGAAACATAAACACAGGTTATATACCTGGACTTACCTGATGGTATGCATAGGAATCAGATCGATTACATCTGTGGAAAGAACTGCTGGAGAAGCTCAATATCAGCTGTGAAAACTA